AAAAAAAAAAAAAAAAAAGAAATAATCTTATCACTGTAATGTATGCCAAAAAGGCATTTAAAATTCAACTTCTATTTCAAATAAAGGAAAAACAAAAAAACATTTTTTCTAAGGAGTATATTTTAAAACCCACAAACCAACATAATATTTGTTGAAGAAGAGTCATAGAACCCCAGAATATTAGAGTTGTATGGGGCATTAAAAGTTATTAAATTCTGAGTCCAAGTCTGGCACAGTGGCTCATGCCTGTAATCCCAGAACTTGGGAGGCTGAGGCAAGTGGATTGCCTGAGCTCATGAGTTCCAGACCAGCCTGAGCCAGATTGAGACTCCCGTCTAAAAAATAGCTGGGTATTGGGCGGCACCTGTGGCTCAGTGAGCAGGGCGCCAGCTCCATATACCAAGGTTGGTGGGTTCAAACCCGGCCCCAGCCAAACTGCAACAAGAAAATAGCCGGGTGTTGCGGTGGGAGCCTGCAGTCCCAGCTACTTGGAAGGCTGAGGCAAGAGAATCATCTAAGCCCAAAAGCTGGAGGTTGTTGTGACCTGTGATGCAACAGCAGTGTACTGAGGGTGAAAAGTGAGACTCTGTCTCTTAAACAAACAAACAAACAAATAGCTGGGCATTGTGGTGGGCGCCTATAGTCTCAGCTACTTGGGAGGCTGAGGCAAGAGAATCAATCACTTGAGCCCAAGAGTTTGAGATTGCTGTGAGCTAAGATGCCACAGCATTCTACCAAGGGTGACAAAGTGAGTCTCTGTCTCAAAAAAAAATTTTTTTTTTTCTGAGTCCCGGCACAGTGGCTCACACCTGTAATCTTAGCATTCTGGGAGGCCAAGGTGAGTGGATTGCTTGAGCTCAGGAGTTTGAGACCAGCCCAAGCAAGAGTGAGACAGGGTCTGTTTTTACTTTACTAAAAGTAAGAAAAAAAAAACTAGCTGGGGATAGTGGCAGGCCCCTATAGTCCCAGCTACTTGGGAAGCTGAGGCAAGAGAATTGCTTGAGCCCAAGAGTTTGAGGTTGCTATGAGCTATAATGTCACAGCACTCTACTGAGGGTGACAAAGTGAGACTCTGTCTCAAAAAAAACTTATTATGGGTAGTGCCTGTGGGTCAAAGGAGTAGAGCACCAGCCCATATACCGGCGGTGGGGGTTCAAACCCGGCCCCGGCCAAAAACTGCAAAAAGAAAAAAAAGTTATTAAATTCTGGCTCCATGTTTTACAGATGACAAAACACAGCCAGGGAAATTAAATGACTTGCCCAAGGTCACTGAGCTTGATGAGAAATCTTTTAATTAGTAGTCTATCTATTACCTGTTACTTCTCTTATAAATAGAAACAAGGATGCCATCTGTCATTTCTGGTCTTTAATAATACTAAAGAACTTTTAGAAAAGGAAAGGATCGGCTCAGCGCCTGTGGCTCAGTGACTGAGGTGCCAGCCATATACACCTAAGGTGGTGGGTTCGAATCCAGCCCGGGCTGCCAAACAACAATGATGGCTGCAACCAAAAAATAGCCAGGCATTGTGGCGGGCACCTGTGGTCCCAGCTACTTGGGAGGCGGAGGCAGGAGACTTGCTTGAGCCCAGGAGTTGGAGGTTGCTGTGAGCTGTGATGCCATAGTACTCTACCCAGGGGGATAGCTTGAGGCTCTGTCTCAAAAAAAAACTGGTAAAGAAGTAATTGAATCCATCCATTTAGCCCTGCCTATTGTACCTCTGGCAAGTCATCACCCAGCTGGTCATCTGTCTTCTACTTGAATGCTTCCAATGTTTGGGGAATCCTTTATTCAGAGATGTCAAGCCTTTCATAAAGCTCCACTTCTTCTTTTTTTTTGAGACAGAGCCTCAAGCTGTCGCCCTTGGTAGAGGGCCGAGAAGATCCTGGGCCCGCGCGGCTGCGGGAGCGCAGCGGGCGGTCCCGGCCTCCGGAAGCGGCGGGGCTGGGGAGCGGCCCGGGACGGGCGGGATCTGCGCGGCCCCTCAGCCCAGGAGCCGGGCCTCCTTGGTCCTGGATCTCCCAGGCGCAGGAGACAGTGAGTGCACGCGCCCCGCCTGGGCCCCAGCGCAGGCCCCTAGCCCGCTGCGGTCCCGACCACGCGGCCTCCTGCCGTCCCCAGAGCTGCACTGCGACACCTTAGCCCTCCCGGCTTCCCTCGACCCGCTGCCCGACCCCTAACCACTCTTCCATCCCGTGGCCGACACCTCGTCCTTTCAGCTACCTTTCCCTCTCCCGACAGTGGCCGCTCCCCGCGACGCCGAGATCCGGGAGTATGTACAGGTGAGAGCTGTAGGGCACCCCAGGCCGGTGCCTCTGCCCGCCCCCGGGACCTTTGGAGAGGGGACCTGGCAGGATGTGGCCTTAGGGCTTTGCTAGGGGAACAGAGGTGGGCCGAGCGGGGATGGGGGTGGTGGCGGAGCCCCAGCGCAGCAGACCCTAATTAGCTGCAGCTCTTTTTTCCCGCCTCACCTCTCACTCCACTCTGGACCTCGGACCTCTGGGTCAGACCTACTACGGGCAGGTGCTGAAGAAATCTGCAGACCTCCAGACCAATGCCTGTGTCACCGCAGCCAGGCCGGTCCCCAAGCGCATCTGGGAAGCCTTGCAAAATGTACACGAAGAAGTAATCTTGAGGTAGAGTGCCCTGTGCTACCCCCATGAAGACCCCAGACTTCAGCTTTCATGAAAAATAGTGATGACAGTCACTACGGAATTAACCCTTTGCCACCAGTCCATCGGGCTTGTCTTATTGATTGTAAAAACCCTGATTATCTTAATGCTCTATTTAAGAAGTTTTACCTCCCCGGTAAGAGTGAATATACACCTAGAGGATAGAATCTTAGATTTCTGCCTCATTAGTTAGCACAGTCCTGGGTCTGAATTAGATGCTCAGCTAATGTCTAAATGTATTGATTGAACAAATACTTCAGATGGCTAATTTAAGTCTTAGTATCAAGCACAGTGCCCAATGCTACTGTATTAAAGCAGATACATCCCTTGGCTGGGCGCCTGTAGCTCAAGTGGCTAAGGCACCAGCCACATACACAAGAGCTGGGGGGCTGGAATCCAGCCTGGGCCTGCCAAACAACAATGACAACTACAACCGAAGAACAGCTGAAGAACAGCCGGGTGTTGTGGCGGGCACCTGTAGTCCCAGTTACTTGGGAGGTTGAGGCAAGAGAATCGCTTGAGCCCAGGAGTTGGAGGTTGCTATGAGCTGTGATGCCACAGCACTCTACCCAGGGTGACAGCTTGAGGCTCTGTCTCAAAACAAGCAAACAAACAAACAAAAAAAACCCCTCCCTGCCTTCACAGTTTAGGGAAGGAGATAAAACACTAAAAAGGAATAGTGGGGTGGCACTTATGGCTCAAAGGAGTAGGGTGCCAGCCCCATATGCCGGAGATGGTGGGTGGGTTCAAGCCCTAACCCTGGCCAGAAACAGCAAAAAAAAAAAAAAAAAAAAAAGGGAATATAAGTGAATAATGGAAGGAAGGAAAGGAGGGAGGTAGGGAGGAAGAAAGGGAAGATGTATAAGATTTAGTGGTTCCATGTCTTATTGTCTCTAGGGAAAAAAAATGTGCTTTCCATTTCTCAGGTATTATGGCTGTGGTCTAGTCATCCCTGAGCATCTAGAAAACTGCTGGATTTTGGATCTGGGCAGTGGAAGTGGCAGAGATTGCTATGCACTTAGCCAGCTGGTTGGTGAGAAGGGACACATCACTGGAATAGATATGACCAAAGATCAGGTGAGGCAATGATTTGGAGGACAAGGAGGTAAACACAATCTCAAAAGCATTCTTTTAGAGATAAAGTTGTTTCCTTGGCAATCCTTCAAAGATAATTTAGAAGACTACGATTTAGCAATTTTCACTTGAGCCACTACTGCTGCCTGTCCTGGAAGCTGAGAACTTTCACAATAGGGGCTCTTCTGGGAGAACACAAAGTCACAGGCTTGATCTGATATATAAATATCCTGACAACCAGGGGAGTTTGATCTTTTCCTTCCTTCTGCCGTCTATGAAAGATTTTCTTACTGAACGAGGAGTTTTTTTAAGCAAAACTCACACAGCAGGGAGTTTATGTCCTAGACTGTGGTATCTCCTGCACGTCTATAGGAAGCTTGTCTACTTATCCAGAAAACTCTGGGGGAAGTGGGTTCTGTTCATAATAGGAAAATTTTAGGAAAAAAACATATTTTTAAAAAATGTTGATTATCACAACATCTGTATTTTGATCATACATCTATATTTTTCTTCCTTTAGGTGGAAGTGGCTAAAAAGTATCTTGACTATCACATGGAAAAATTTGGCTTTCAGGTGCCCAATGTGACTTTTATTCATGGCTGCATTGAAAAATTGGGAGAGGCTGGAATCAAGAATGAGAGTTACGATATTGTTGTGTAGGTCTTTATTCTTACTCTCACAAGTATAGCCCATGTCCTTTCGAACACACAAATGCTACTTTTTGCTGAATTGATTCTCATTTAGGGCGTTAAACTAAACTTAGCATGTCTTAATAAAGGGAGGGAGCTGGTCTGAGCTGCTTGCAGCTCACTGGTAGCAGAGCAGGCCAGGAGAGAACTTACTTGTGGCTTAATCATAAACCAATAAACTCAAAACACATCAAGACCACTAAGTCTGCTCCTACAGTACACACCGACCTGTTATCTTTAGGATATTTTCATGGCAAATTATAGGATTCTATGTTTCCTTTTTCCCTATGAGTTGTGAAGTCATGCCCAAGTGACAGCCTCTGAGGAATTTAGGCTGTTTACGTAGGTTCTAACAAGTGCCTTATGTAGTAGGAATCTGGTCTGAAGTTTCATTTTGTTGCGTGGTGAACATTAGGTCAGAAACAAATAGGAATCATGTCTGATACTTTTTCCTACATATTCAAATTTGCTAACACTTTATAGAAATTTTAAACACTGCCTACTCCTTTATCTTGGGGACGAATTGAGTCTCAGTAAAAGAGAGAGGCAGGAAGAATGGTGTAGCTTTGACAAAATGGTAGGAGCCACCTTGAGGGCTAAAAAGATTTGAAGATTTCTGAGTAGTGCGTAGAATTGCCTGACATTCCATCTGTTCTTTTTTAGATCAAATTGTGTTATTAACCTTGTGCCTGACAAACAACGAGTATTGCAGGAGGTGTACCGAGTACTGAAGGTGAGGGAAAGAGTGAGGTAACTTACGTTTAAACATCCGTGAGAAATGAGGGGATCAGTCCTGGTTTCTTTGCTTTTATAGAGACAGGATCTCCCTCTATTGCCAGAGCTGGAGTGTAGTGGAGCTCTATAATGTAGTGGAGCTATCATTATAGCTCGCTGCAACCTCAAACTCCTGGTCTCAAGTGATCCTCCTGCCTCAGCCTTCCAAAGTGCTAGCATTTCAAATGTGAGCCACCATGCTCAGCTTTACATTGATTACATCCGGAGAAGAAAATTTATAGGAACCCTATCACTTTCAAGTGTATCATGAAATGTATGTTTTCATGATAGAAAATAAAGATTTTAGCTGGGCCGGTGAGCTGTGTGGTTGTAGTCCCAACTACTCAAGAGGCTGAGGCAGGAGGATCACTTGAGCTGAAAAGTTTGTATTCAGCCTGGGTAACATAGAGAGACCTTGTCTCTAAACAAACAAACAAATAAACAAACAAAAATTCTGACATTTTGTCTGTCATAGGCTCAAAAATAATTCTATAGAAATGATTTAATAATAACCTTATTAGTATGCCAGTTTATAGACCAGTTCACTCTTTACCAAGATATAAAAGCTAGAAATATTATTATAGAATCTAGATCTCTAGTATTTAGGAGATAAATTAGAAAGTGATTTTATTATGTGTTGGATAGGCTGCTGGGAAAAAGAACCCTTGGTACTTGGCTATTGATCGTAACTAGGGAGACAGCTGTTATTTGTTCAAAAAGGGTCAGCTCAAACATTTCTGTTCCTTTTTAAAATTTATTTTTTTCCTTCATCTTTTTCTTTGTAATCTGGGCCAATGTAATCTTTTCGTTTGGACTAATATGCCTCCGTTTCAGCATGGTGGGGAGCTATATTTCAGTGACGTCTATGCTAGCCTTGAATTGCCAGAAGAAATTACAACGCACAAAGTTTTATGGGGTAGGTGTTTTTGCTTTGTCTTGTTTTCTTTTAAGGCACATGTCTGTTCATGTGCAGAGAGAGCTTCATTCTATTAACCAGAAGAAGGCTATGTAATGTGAGATCACATGGGATTAGGCCAGAAAGCTAAAGTTCCTTTCTTCCTCTGTCACTCAAAGGTGACATGACTTTGGGCAATTTAATTGATATCTTTGAGTTATTGTTTTCCAAACTGTAAAATGCAAATAATAATACAATTTGCCAGTAAAGGGCTGTTATGAAGATTTAATGTGCTAATGAATGTGAGAACTACCTTGAAATTGTAGTGTTCCAGAGCTGATGCTCCCTTAATTCCCTTACATTTTCATCATTATTATGTTGTTAACTCATTTATTGTCATTTAAACAGTCTCAGGAGGTTAAGGAGATGAATGCATGCTTGTGGTCAGTCTGAATATGAAATCAAAAGTTCTTTTATACTAAATTATGATAACTTTTTCTTCTTATATAATAATAAATGGATGTTATTAAAAGTAGGCAAACACACCAAAAAGAAAAAATTATTAAGCTGAGTGTAGTGGCACATACCTATTGTCCCAGATACTTTGGAGGCTGAGATAGGAGTGTCTCCCAAGACTAGGAGTTTAAGTCCAGCCTGGGCTACATAGTGAGACCCTATCTCTCTTTTTTTTTTTTTTTTTGCGACAGAGCCTCAA